TTTTTTTTTTTCAAGCTGTGGTAGTGAATTCTTGTGTGTATACTGGAAAAGTAATGTAACTAGATTAAACATTAATTTATATGAAATAAAGAATTGGGTGAATCTGGTCAACTCAATGGAAATGAAAAGTGCTTATTTCCACTATTACATTGAATTTCTTTCACTTCCACTCTGTCAATGGCGGGATTCTGGTCAATAAAATCATCAAACAGTCTCTGAAAATGAAGATAGAAAAATTTACATGTTCAAATTCAAATACCATTTACGCCCAGAGAGGGCACACTCAATTGTGTGAACAACAAGCAAATGTTTTTGACTTTATTCTCTAAAAGGGATAAAATTAGTTTGCATACCATGTCTTGTAAGTTAAGAGGTGAGAAAAACAGATGACATGAATTATGTGGTGTAATTATAACTTTTGTTGTTCCTCAGGCAAATTATCGATGGCTACAAATGGTACGGTAAAATAAACACTAGGTAATATGAACACTAGGTAACATAAACACTAGGTAATATGAACACTAGGTAATATGAACACTAGGGATGCATGGATTTCAACCCCCAAACTAATCAGGGCTGTGAATTGCCCCGTGGCACATATGTACCAAGTTTTATTAGAATGTGATGATTAATTTTTAAAAAATCAAAAAGCTGAAACAAAAATTAATATGCATATTAGGTAATTAATATGGATGTGCATTTAAACCCTAAACTAATTAGGTTGTCACAATGGTTTTGAGTATTTATGTACCATAATTCATAGATTTCAGTGGAAAAACCAACAAATTTTGAATTTCTATGGCAGTTAGGTAATCAATAGATTCAATTCAAAACTGCTCAGGTCTGTGTATTGTCCCTGTAGCATTTATGAATTCAGTTCATTTAAAATATGATGATTAGTACTTGAGAAAAGCAGAAAATCGATTGTTTATTATGCAAATTGGGTTATTATTAATATGCATGGATTTTAAATCCAAAATATCGGTAATCAGGTTCATGGATTGTCCTATAGCAAGTACCGGGGGTTATGTTCTGAGCTTCATTAAAATGGTTCTTCATATACGGTAATGGTGGAACATACAAGCATACATACATACATACATACAGACAGGGTAAACACAAAGACATCCATTGTGTGCTTCACACAAATCAACGTAATACAACTACATTATTCCAATTATGCAAACATGTACTCTCTTACATATGGACAGGAAGATCGCCTTGGCACAGTTTTTTTTTTTTTTTTTTTTTTTTTTTTTTACAACCTAGATATGACCTTTGCCCTCTGTAAATTCCAATCATTGGTAACTGTGATGAGGTTTATAAAATCATGCTGACCAACCTGATTTAAACTGAAACAAATCTCAGTGAACACTTCCACAGAATTTATGACTCAGGCAATTCCAAAACCAATATAATTTATAACACATGCCTATTTCGCTGTAATATTCGGTAGACATCCTCAATTTCAAAGAAAAGTGATGGTCAATATTACCTTTAAGTCGTTAGTGAGATCCTTTGTGACCTTTGCCCTCATGTTGCCGAGGCACCATGCGATGCTAACATGGAATGACGGTTTCTGTATGAAACAGAAAAACAAAGACAGAATAAAACAACAAACACTTTCAGTATTTTTCAACTACAAGTTAAAGACTTCTGGGATTAACCCATTGAACTTTGACGCTTTGAAAATTATGTCCATTTCGTCCCAAATTATCATAGTTTATATACGTAATTCCTAAAAATGTGTGAAATAATTGCACCAACTTACCTCATAAAATATTGGTAATCTAAATTCCAAGAGACACTCATCGACCAGTTTAACTAATTCCAGCAAATAATCATGCCCAATAGAAACTTTCAAACCCAAAAATGACCTGAGAAAAATTATAGTGATCCGTAAATATGACAGCTGGCCACTTATGAAATTAAGAGACAGCTCAAAACAAAATATGCAATGAGATTGGTCACCTTTCAGAAAAGAAACCTGAATTATGTTTATTGGATTGAAAATTAAAATTATTAAGAAATTATAGAGGAGAACATGAAAATGTTGCTAAAAAGTTGGTGGGGGGGGATTATGGTGTTCTAACAATATATAATAATTAATTATAAATATATTGTGAGAAGGAACCCATGGCCAAACGCAGCATTGTTATTTTATTTTGTCATTTTTTTTCAAAAGTTTACTGCATAATCAATTTGCTCTGCAATACTACTACTAGGTTGAAAACTTGGCATTTTCTTCCTGTCACAGCTGCAAAAACCATTGGGCGGTTTTGAAAACATAAATTTGATTGACAAGTATATCATGGAGTATAATTGTTGTACCTCATATAGGTACATTCAAATGCTATCTATAAACAGCCTGTGTACTTTTGGCTGCTGCTAATTTCAAGTCCTGATTATGTTTTTGCATGTGCGTATGCAGTGACAAGAACTAATTAATCACATGCTAAGATAAAATACTGGCATTGTTAGCTGCTGCCGTGGTTACAGTCAAACGTGATAATAGCGACAACCCAAGGGACTTCATTAAAATGGTCCGTATATTCAGGTGGTCTTTATATGGACGTTGTTTTCATTGAATTTTTTAATTTTCAGGTTCTTTAATCCTCATCCTGCCAGTCCTATGTACTTTTACATAGACTTGACCAGATAAGGATTGAAGTGTAAATCAGCTGGCTGCACATTGTTTACTCTTTTAATCTCCACATCACAAAACACCATGTCACCGCTGCACATAATCAACAAGACATGCATGGCACAGTCCCCGTTAGTTATCAAATCTAAGTTATATAGTTTTGTGTATACACTGTAGAATTTTAGCTGGAATAAATTTTCCCTGAAAAAACTTTTTGAGTGTTTTGTATGTATTTTTACTGATTTTTGACAAGTTAAATGTAAAATATAGGAAAAATGGTTATCCACTGGATTTTATTTTATTTTACAGTAGTACAAGTACAAGTACTTGTTCATATTCAGAAATATTGTCTGGAACAGCATTAATTAAAACAAATTGACCACCGGTCGGCCATTTTGAATGGGATCGTCAAACCAATATATCTGTATAACTATGACATGATGTATAATGAATATATAAAATTTGAACATCAGTCAAACATATCAGAGATATACCCTTAGCACTAGAACCGCATTCATTAAAACAAAATGGCTGCCAGTTGGTCATCTTTAATCTAATCTGAAAAACAAAATGACGTGCATCAAGCTTCTATAATGTCTGATGTATGTACCATGTTTGAACGAAATTCATCCATACAGAACCAGTTCCGGAAAGTCAGGAATAATGTTGATGATTTTTTAGCACAAAAATAGCCACCATTCAGCCATTTGCATGGACACACAGATGCTCCGATGCACAAAGGTCAATCCATAAGTCCCCATTTTCGGACTGCATCCAAACAGGGATTAATAACCATATTTATCCTTCCTCCCACCAATCACAATGTGCACATGGTTTATTTAATCACTAACAAACTCACCTGGTCTTTTCATCGTTTGTATAAAACTCTAATGTTTCAAGTACCAATGTGAATGAGGAACAGTCGATAAAACATTGTCTTAAAGCTTCAATAAACGAATTGATCCAATGATGTTGAAGAACAACAGTCCTTGATAAACTGACATGGAAGTCATCCATTAGTTTCATGGGTATGTCGGTTGGTAATGCGTGGACAAGAGCGGTACACAAGTCATAAAAATCATCACTAGGTGGAACTATCAGGAAAAAAACACAGACACAACATTACAGAATATGTCCATTGTTAGCTTGATATCCTCATGTCTCATGTTCTTATATTCTTCAATATTTCTGGAAATGAACCCAAGTTTTGAAGCCAACAGACAAAATTTGAGTCAATTTCAGTTTTCACTCATTGACAATAAATTTGGATATTTTTGCCCCAGACAAAAGCGCAGACTATAAACAGGGCTATTTTCTGAATTTGTGAAAAAGTTAATAATAGACCATTTTCCGTTCACTGCGAGAATCACGCGTTATGCGTGAAATCGAACGTAAAAACAGGACAAACAAAGGTCATAGCGTCGTAGTCGCGTCAAACATCGCGTGGGATTTGACAAACGCGAAAGTATTTCGGGGGACATTTCCATGCTTAATAATGTGCTGTCCACATTTGATGATAGGCAATTTCGATTAAGTGAGGGTAGGGTATTCGGAAGCAATATTCCTCTGTCGAAGATTGGCCGGTCAATGTAAGCTGCGAAATAAAGAAATTCTAGTTCAAAATCAAATCGTTCGATTTTTGCGGCAGACGTTCGACGCGCGTCTTTCATGCATCTCGCGAGATCTCGCAATTGTTCGGAAAATCACCTATTGGATATGAATATAGGTGCTCAACAGGGTTTCATTTAAACAAAGAAATAATTTGCATAAATTAGCATACTTTTTTTTTTTAACATAACATGTATTTTCCTGGTTATTTTTTTCGTAAGTATTTTACTCAAATTTGCACACGTAATTTAAAATGAGATTTTCACAATATTTCTAATTTCAGTATATCTTACTAGTATTCAATATTGTGTCTGTGACTGAACAGTCATTGTTATATTTGATTTAATTGCACGGATGAAACTGTAACATGTTTAAAATTTGAATCTTGCTGATATTCAAATCACAAAATGAATTAATATTGAGACATACTACATGTACAGCAGAGTCATTCAGTCTCTGAATTCAACAGTTCTATTATTTGCCAGTCAGTCAAAAGTGCGAGAAAGACATTTATGTTTGATTAAACATATATGTATGTTTTCTTTGTTAAAGAGTTGATAAATAAATTTTCATTTGATATACAACTAAGACAATCTTTTTATTCTAAAAAGAAAAAAAAAACTAATAAAACAAAAGAAAAACCAAATCCAAGCAAATTATTTTAATAAATGCAGGACTCTTCAACAAGGAAATACAAAAGAATTTTGGAAAACTACTGTAAAATCTGTATTAGAAACCGCAGCTTCTATTAAAATGGTACAATAGAGCATCTACACATATGAGAAATGATGAATTTTTGGTTTTAAATTATTCATAAAGAATGTGTGCGACTTCTATTAGGGATGCGGCTTCTAATACAGATTTTACGGTATTAATCATATGAAAAATACGGATCAAAATAGTGATAATCCAATTTCTGCAACTAAATGGATGGAATATTATGCAACACTAAACAATGAAAAAGATGATAATAGTTTCCAGGAAAATATAATGAAACAATTATCAGAGCATGAAGAGACAATGATAATGATATGAGTAAATGATCACTTAGATAAGGTTATTAGGTTGGGCCTTGTTGGGGCTCAACCCTATCAGAGTTCAACCTGAGGGTTTATTGGAGCCGAACTTGGCTCGAGTCGAACATGTATACACAGCCATTTTTGCTGGCTTCGATAAAATGCTGTTGTGTGAAAGTAGCAAATACTGAGTATGCTGTTACGAGGAAAGCATGAAAACTTGGATTATTTACATTATTATATTTTAATATTAGGTTTTGAGGGATGTAGTCTTATAAAGTACACTAAATGAACCAAAAAGCTTCCATTAGAGACATACCTATGCAGAATATAATTTTCCGGTACTTAAACTATTTTAAAACCTACATATGGTTTATTTTATTGATTTATAAAAATAATGAACAGTGTGTCATTCTTTACCCAGACAGTCACATACCTGGAATGTGTACAAATGTAGCCCAGTTTCCAGCCTGATGTTCAAAGGACCGACTCCTTCCTTCATGTTTGTGTTTATCATCCACCCACTTACTTTGTTTATCTGTAAACAAACCAGCAATGCCGTCTGGTAATTCTAATCTACAAAAACAAAAAGAAATTGTCAGTTGAAAATAAAGTAAAAATCCTAAAGGAGAAACTATGACCTCTACAAGGTTGGCAATTAGACCTCTACTCTAGAACCTAGGCATGTTATTGAAAGCTATCACACTTAACTGTTGACTGTAAAATTGATTATAATTCCAGAATGTAACTGTTGGATCAGCTTTGGTTGTCGCGCAACGCGTGTTCGAATTTCATGTAAACAAACAAAGTATTTTACATGCGTTGTATACGTCGCTATGAGCCCCATATCGAACAGGACGCGGCACGACAACCATCGCCCTTTAAAGCCAGTCCATAGTTTGTGATGTCTGAGGGTTTGTTAATTTTTTTTATTATTTTAGAATTGCCATCAAATCATTTTTTTTTTTATTTGGATGTTTTATTTATATTTTGATTCGACCTAAGTGTATTTATATAACAATAACACATAAACTTGGGTTTGTTGGCTTCAATGTACATTCAGTTAGAAAAGTACATTTAAAAAAAAAATTGTATAAACTGCAATAAAAATAATTTAAATTGTTGTTTGGCTTGTATCATAATAATACTTTATTGTCTTCTTGAACTTGTAAATAAATATTAGCATAATTTGGTGATAGCAAAGAGTGTTTTTGTTCATGATTTCACGATTTATGTAAAGTTTGCAAACCTCTTTGACTCAGATTTGATCATTTTGTTTCCCTCGCTTTTTTTCCAGCTTGGTCCGGCTGATAATCTTCGTTTCGCGCGACGGCTTTTGTTATCATCGCCGAGTTCCGTATCTGAATCGCTGTCACTACTGCCATATCCATGGATCAGACTTAGAGCGCTGTCACCGCTCGACATTCGAATTCTCGTTCATTTCACAAACGATGATGACAATTTTCACTTTAGATTTCCTAGAATCACAATGAAACCGCTGACGGCTGTGACGACTAACCGAGTTGATAATTCCACGACCTGGATGACCACTTATATTTCCACCGAATTCTGTTTCGATAGCTCAGGAGGTCATGGAGTAATTTTATTACGTCCCCTAGCTTACTGTGATTTATACCATTTTACTATTCTATAAAGTATACACTCATATATAATATAAGCAATATTATTTGAATAACACAACTATTTTTAATTTTATTTGAGTACCTCTAGATACAACTTTCAAATTATTCCGAATTCCGGGTAGAATTCATTTCGGAAACCTATTTGGCTAGGGAGTTTTATTGAGGGCGCTTCAAGATTTCGCCCGCCTTTCTCGGATTTAGGTACCCGCTGTATTTCCAGGAAGTGGTGTAGTGACACTGTCATTTAAATACCTACAGACCGTTGTTGTCAGATGAGCTCTTTCCGACAGCTACACAACTTACCTGCATTCCACCAGTTTTACAGCTCGCAACAATATACTACAGTGTCAAAAACGGTAAGTATTTTCGTCAAAAAAATGTTTTAATGTTGTAGGTCCTGTAATTTAATATTTCCACCCTATATGTGTATACACTGTAGACGGCCAGTTCAGTGCTTTGGAAAAATTGCCCAATTGCCTCCCAAGTTGTATCACAGACGGAACTACGCTATATTACAAAAAAAAAGTGTTAAAAAAAATATAAAATTTTAAAGTGTGAAGTTTCTGTAATTGGTGCCTGGAACTAAAAAAAATCCATGCTTAGTGAGCTTAGTAACGTCCTCGATCAAGTTTAGGAATTATTTTACTGTAGCTGGAATTTTTTTTTTTTTATAAAACTCAAAATGGGTTGCTACCATGACGTTACATTCATTTTTACCCTTTTATTTTCACTTATTGCCTTGAAAATAAAAAAAAAGCCATGAAACTCAAAAAGCTTAAAACTGTAGAAATTATAAAAATCCTTGTCATATATTTGCAGGAAATCATTGAGAAAAAATATCCCAAGTTATTTATATAACAGTAAACAAAGCAAATACTAATACTGCTGCCATTTTTTTGGGGGGGGGGGGGGCTATTTCAAATGCTATTTCCTTTGAACTGCAAGCATCAATTGCCTGAAAATCATTTTATATATAAAAAATATGGGTTTCATATGCACAAAAATTGCAACTTTTGCCTGTTTCGTAAGGCCGGGTATGAATTGAAATATTACATAAAATATAATGGTTATTGGTTTGGTGATATGATTGTGGTATTCATGGAATCAACGGGTGGTTATTAGTGCATGTCACACCCAGGTCAAAACTCCTACTCATGATTTATATATGGGAAAATCAATGATTATGATAACAAATCTCACACAAGATAACTAGGTAACTGAGTAGCTGTTTTTTTACTTACTTACTTACTTCATTTTCGCTATTTTTAGTCCCCGTTCGGACGCAGTCCGAAAACGGGGACTTATGTTTTGCCCTGTGTGCGTTCGT